CTCACTCTCAGTGGCGCTTCCTGCGAAGAGTTGCCTCAACTCTTCTGCTTTGCTTGTCATCCCTTCTCGGTCTGAAAGGATGCATAGTTGCTCGATGCGTCCATCGAACAAGTCCTTCGCGAAGCGCTTCCAGCTCATGACTGGAAGCGAGGTCAACTCCGACGCATCAGTTGGAGGATTCTCCAGCTCTATCTTCTCGTACTGATACCCAGTACTGGCCCACGTCAAGACGTTCAACGTCTCGACGGCCATTGTTGTCGTTTGTGTCTGCCCGGCAGACACATCATGAAGAGTCTCGGTCCCGGACCGAGACTTTCGCGGCCTGTTGTGCTTGCACCGTCGCTTCTTCTTGTGAATCCCTGATTCACTTGCGTTTCGTCCAGGCCCGGTCATGGACGAATGTTCCTTGATTCTGCCGGCAGGCATTCTAGTCTGCGGGCGACCGCCGGCGGGTTCTTGTACCCGCGGGCACGCGTCATCACGCCCGGCTTGATCGCGCCCTGCTTCGTGCAGCCCGGCTGCACCGCAAGCTTTTGTGCTGGACGTTTGCAACCGTCCGCACAGCTTGTCGCATCAACTCCTGGAGTCGATGCTTCGTCGTCACCTCTACGCCTTGCGGCGGAGCAGTGTGTCGCAGCTCCAAGAGCTGACACACTGTTGTCACTTCGACCTCCCACGTCGGAGAACGTTCTTGAATCTGATATCGAGCACGTGTCAACTCCCGGAGTCGACACGCTTTGTCACCTCGACGCCTTACGGCGGAGAATGTTCTAGAAGTGTCTGATCCCTGGCCAGACACTCTTTTGCTGTCAACGATTCCTGGAGTCGTTACAGCTTGGGCGCTCCTCGCGCTGCGACTGGAGACAACGGCGCGAGCCACTGTCTCTGAAGGATATTCGGATGCACCGTTAGGTGTATCCGCTGCACTAACAGGGTCATCGCTCTCTGTTGCGCCGCGGTGTCCGAAGCATACGACCGTACGCTTCTCCCAGTCTATTGTAGGATCATGCCGTGCAAGCCACGGCATGCCCAACACCATGTC